CTCTTCCACCGGTGAGAGACTCTGTAGACCACGTTTATGTCATGGATGGTGGCGGAAGCACTACAATTTTGGATCTATTGCAAGTTACTATGATGCTCTTGTAGACCTGTAGTCTTGTCTTCTCATCTTTTTAATACAAACTGATGGACTTATATGTTTCTCTTGTCTTTTCATCTTCAATTATTCACCTGATATTTTATAATTTTTTTTAAAAAAAAATCTATTTGTACATGAAATTTGTACACATTTGACACATATATGTACGTAGTTTTCTGTGCAGATAGATAATGTGTACACTCCCTAGTTGTATGTGTACACAGGCATCTAGTGCATTAATTGATTGTGTACGCAAACAATTACGTATATATGTGCGCCAATTGTGTACAAATTTTGTGTACCCCTAAAATTGTTATTCTTTTTTCGTATGATCAATTGGCTCATAGTTTTATTTTAGTAGGGAGTATTTCTTTTCAAAGACTTAATGCACATCAAAATTTGAGGGCCTCAAATTATTTGATACATGTTCTTGATAATCGAAATAAGGTTATTCTACCCTGATATATGTATTAATTATTGTATAAATATAATATGATCAGATTTATTTAATTTTAATCTAATCTAATATGAAGTCTAATCTAGTCCGGTGTTGTGGTCTAAGCAGAAACTGAAAGAACTCTCAGTAAATAGCAGTATATTTAAACCCATATGGGTAGCTCAACTGGTAAAGAAGAGAAAAACTTGAACAACGATCAAGGATCAAAACTCACAACGACCATGTAGAGGTCACAACTCATATGTCCTGGGTAAGATCTCTAGCACGCACAAATATAATGTCTACCACCGTTAGGATTGGTTGACTCAACGTGATTCACATCCTCTCAAATACTCTATGGATCAAGACTAACTTGTTAAAGACGGTCCTTGATGGAACTGTTTTGTACCATGAGCACGTTTCTCTGGATCTGAATTCTTTGTCTCGCTTTGGCAGCTAGATAGGGTGTGTAGCTAACCAGCTATTACAGCCACAGGATCTAACATTGACAGCCCACAACTCCCCTCCCCATGTTGTTGTTGGATTGCGCTAAGGCACCTCTGCCGTGGGCCACTAAATTGTCTATTCTAGTTATTCTGGCTAATGCACTTACACCAATATTACACCAAATAAAACTTTTATTTTAAAAGTATTTCTTGGTCTTTTGTTGTTTTATGCATGCAATAGTTTGGGTAACAAATGAACTAATATTATGCGAACTAACATTCCTTTAAAACTAAAATTATTCTGTTATCTTAGACTTTTGTTATAAGATACTACGTACTACGTATATTTTATACCAATTGTTTAGATGAAATAGTGAAATATACATAAAGGCAGTGGCGGACCCAGAGATTTGTCAGAGCAGGGGCACACTAGACACTAAACTTACTCTATAATAAAATTTCCAAATGTAATAAAGATGGTAAAAAATAAGGGAATAGCATAAATTATACGGAGTAGTTAATTACATATTATATAGTTCATTTCTGCAACTTTGGTAATCAATATTACGAGTTTTCATATTCTGAAAATGTTACATAATAGTTTCATTATCAATACTTTTAAAAACACCTCTGTCGATGTAGCACATCAAGCAATATGTAAGATAATCATCTAAAGAAACTTACAAAATACAAATGAACGGGTGATTGGGTGGTGCGGCGCTGCAGAGGTAGTTTAGCAAGGCAGCGGCAAGCCCCAGAAAGAGGCTAGAGTGTAAACATCCGTGAGGGTTTATATTTTGGAAGTTTTCCCCCTTTTGCCTTGTAGAGTAATAGTGAGTTATTAGTGGATTTCATTTTTAAACTTTTACTTGTTTTAGATTACTTTAAGATGGCCGCACATTAATTTGGTTACGGTTTACATTTTAACTTTTTGGGTTTTCAACCCTTAACTATTTTCTATCAAAAGAAAAAAACCTTAACTATTTTCTTCTCCTTTTTTGAGATCTTTTATTTTAATTCAGCTCAAATTTAAATATTGTGTATTAACTTTTAATTTATATAACTGTAACATTTTAGTATCTTAATTATCTAATATTGATAATTTTTTGTACGGGTTGGGGGCACTAATTTTACCCAAACTAGTAGTAGTGAAATTCTGACCGCAAGCGAGGACATTGATTTTACTCTAAGTACTAGTAGTGAAATTCCTGATCGAAAGCGGGGGCACTTGCCCCCCTAGGCCCCTCCCTAGGTCCTCCACTGCATAAAGGAACAATATCTAATAATATGGTAATTGAGAAATAAACATAAAACAAACATTCCTTCCGCTCGATACTACTTGTCTGTTGTCTCAATTGGAGTTTCACAAGATTGAGTATTTATAGAAGTTAGGTGAAGTTTTGGTAGTGAAAACTTAGTTTTGGTTGGGTGAAGTTTTGTTCAATGAGTAGGTAGAGTAGACATGGACTCGGGCCGGGCCGTCGGTTTGTAAGCGATGGACCCGGGACCGGTTCGGGCTGGGCCCCGCCCGGGTCACGGGTCGAGCCACCCGCCGGGCCGGGCTAGGCCGTTTAAATCCATTTTTTTTATAATTGGAAAAATTGTTTGTAATAATCTCAACTATTGGCGATTCGCTAGGTGTGAACCGGTTCCGGTTCAGGCCCAGTTCGGACCTCGGTTCATGAATGAGGAGGCCCAGAACCGGCCCGGGTAACCCCCGGGCCGGGCCGGGCCAGGCCGGGTAACCCCCGGGATGGGCCGGGCCGGGCCTCGGTTCATGTAATTTTTTTTTGGCTTTTCCAAATTAACCCCCAACCCTCCCCCCTCACTCCCAAACCACCCAAATCACCTCAAATGGCCCATCATACCCAGTCCAAGCCAAAAACTTAAAAAAAATCAAAAAAAAAAAGAAAAAATAAATTGGCCCGGACCAGGCCCGAACCAGCCGGGCCGGTTCACTATTTAGCAGGCCCGGGCCCGAACCGCCTACCTCACCGGGCCGGGTGGCCCGAACCGGGCACCAACCGGTTCACCGGGCCGGGCCCGCACAGTAGCGGGCCGGTCCGGTTCCAGGCCGGTTGGCCCGACCCGAGTCCACTCCTACGATCCGCTAATAATAATCCCAACTATCGATTATTTCAGGATAATCCAAACTTTAGGGAACTTCCGCCAATAATAGTCCGACGTGATGGACTATAAATAAATTTTCATAGTTTCTAAAGAAATATAGCAGGTAATTCCTATAAATAATCCCAAATTTTAATTTTAACGCTTAATTTCTATTAAAAATTCACTTGTTAGAGCATGTAATATTCGGTCATGGACCATTATTGGCAGACGGTCTATATAGTTGGAATTATACAAAAATAATCAATAGTTGAGATTATTGTTAGCGGACCGGCAATAGTTGGGATTATTATTCTCAATTTTTTCTTTATAATTTATACTTTATAGTTTTATACGAGTATTAAAAACAAACTTCAAGTGCATTTATTTAAAATATGAAATACAAGTTTACAAGTTACAATTGAGAATTGAAGGTAAAATTAAAACATGAAATACTAATCAATCGGAATCTCCGACATAAGTAGAGCCACCATCGGTTGTAGATTCATCCATAAAGTGTTGGGATGGGGTGATGTCAATTTCTTGAGCTCTACGGGCCGCTTTCAACCAATCATAGGGATGGACTAAACCGGCCCGGCCCGGCCCGGAACCGGCCCGGACCGGACCGGGACCGGTTGGCCGGTTCCGGGCTTTTAGCCCGTTTGGGCGGGTCGGGCGGTCGGGCTCGGGCCCAGTTTTGGGCGAACCGGCCCGGGCAGTTCGGGCCGGGCTCGGGTCAATTTTTTTTTGGGCGAACTGCCTTCAATCAATCGTGGTAGCATATAAGCATCTCAAGAGATTCTGCGCTCAACCTCGTTCTACATTGCGTTAGGACATTGCCGGCCGAACTAAATTTTTGTTCCACGGCAACTGCTGAAACCGACATTGATAGCACTTGCTCAATCATCTTTGCTAAAACCGGCATTATGTACGTTCTTTTTAAAAAAGTGAGATTATTAATATGGGAGCAACAACAAGGGTCGAACATGTAATTTAGAACAAGGTTATACATAGAGGTGGACTCGGACCGGGTCAGGCCCGGTCGGGCCGCCAGTTTTTATCACATGGACCCAGGACCGGCCCGAGGGTTGGACGGGTCCGGTTCGGGCTGGGCCACCCGCTCGGGTCACGGGTCGGGCCACCCGCCGGGCCGGGCCGGTTAAAGTATTTTTTTTATATAATTTATATTTTATACTTTATAGTTTTATACAAGTATTAAAAACAAACTTCAAGTGCATTTATTTGAAATATGAACTACAAGTTTACAGTTTACAATTGAGAATTGAAGGTAAAATTAAAACATGAAATACTAATCAATCATTCAATCGGAACCTCCGACATAGGTAGAGTCACCCTCGGTTGTGGATTCATCCATAAAGTGTTGGGATGGGGTAATGTCAATTTCTTGAACTCTACGGGCCGCTTTCAACCAATCATAGGGAGGGAGGAACTAAACCAGCCCGGCTCGAAACCGACCCGGCCCAAAACCGGCCCGGTCCGGCCCGCTACTGTGCGGGCCCGGACCGGACCGGGACCGGTTGGCCGGTTCCGGGCTTTTAGCCCGTTTGGGCGGATCGGGCGGGTCAGGCTCGGGCCCAGTTTTGGGTGAACCGGCCCGAGCAATTCGGGCCGGGCCCGAGTCAATTTTTTTTTTTCAATTTTTTTCTTTTCCTAAGGTAGGGGGGTGTTTTGGGGAGATTTGGGAGTGGGAGTGAGGGGGGGGGGGGTCAGGGGATTACAAGAAAGCAAAAAAAAATAGACATTGAACCGGGCCTAGCCCGATTAGGCCCAGACCCAGCAACCCGGCCGGTTCCGGGCCCAAGGATTTGCAAAAAAAACCGCCCGGGCCCGGCCTCGGCCCGGAACGGGAACCGGCCCGGCTCCATCCCTAGTTATACAATGCGAAGATGCTTTTCTTTTGATGATCAATATGAGGTAAATGGGCCCATTTTTTTATTGAAGACAGCCTTAGATTTTTCTTTTTTAAGGCAAAGTATACTTTCTGAGATAATATAAAGGTACAACAAATGAAAGACAAAAACAGCAGAAAAGATGAAGTAAAGAGAAAACAGATAAAAATGCATAGTGAAAAATGGAAAAGACAAAACAAAGGACAACCAACTCTTGGAGCCACTCCGATCTTCTTCGCCCCAATGAAGACAACCAAAGAAACATTGATGGAGCAGAAGATTTTCCACCAGCAACATTTTCAGTGCCAATGCAAAGGTTTACATCAATTGGTAGACAGCAGTCGTATTTTGAAGTTTGAACACAAATTAAACTGTGAATATGAAGTCACACAAAGCACACAAGCATGGTGACTGATAAGATACCGTTGAAACTTGCTAGACACAAGGAATATGTATTCCACAATCAATCAACAAGCAGGTGTGACTTAGTCTAATACCGCATCATACAGTCTCATTATTATTCAATCATAAACGCACAGTAAGGAACAATACAAATCTGTGCGTTTGTACCACAACAAATAGAACAATACATCAGTAACGATACTTGGTAGAGTAGTCTTTGGGAGCGATGACAAGACCACGGCCCTTTCTGGCACCACGATACACAGTCTCGACGATGTCAATGAACTCTTGTTTGTCCTTGAGTGCCCAGTTTATCTTGTTATTATTCCCAGTTCCAAGATCGATCATGATGTGTTTGTTCCTAAAGAAGAACATTACAGTCGATGGGTCATACAATTCATACATTGTGTTGAAGTCAGGTACTTCGGTTATATCCACTAGGAATATCACTGCAAAATTCTTTAATGTCTCCGCCACTGAAGCCAATACTTCATCCATCTTAAAACCCAAGCAAAACAAACCAATTAGTAGGCACATCAAAATAAAGAACAGTATTGCATTATATGTAATGCCCAATATGTACTAAATAAAAAATAATTTGACCACAGTCAATGGCACACTCAGTTTAATGTTCATTAAAGACAAGGGCAGTGACAACAAGTAGCACAAAATTTCAGCTGTTATAATATGATCATGTAGAAAGTTTGTCATTGCTCATTACAAAAAGTTTTACTCTATAATGCAAGTTTTACGATTTTTATAATAATTTATCTGATTCTCTAATGAACAAATTTCCATCATTTTCAGTGGAGCCAAAGACTCGCTTTTTTTAGCTTGGGTAAATGATGGAATAAAGCAAAAAGTTTTACTCTATAATGCAAGTTTTACAATTTTTATAATAATTTATCTGATTCTCTAATGAACAAATTTCCATCATTTTCAGTGGAGCCAAAGACTCGCTTTTTTTAGCTTGGGTAAATGACGAAATAAAGCAAAATGACTCACTAAACTATCCACACTTCTTTGTTATGTAGTCGCAGTCAGTCCATGCAATTTTCGACACGATTTTCATCATGGGTCATCTGAAAACAGTCTCTTTGTGCTTTAGTACAGCTGCGGCACTGTTGCGTACACCAACCCCCCTTACCCCACCGTAAATGGGAGCCTTTGCGGCAATGGGGTAATGTTGTTGTATTCTCTCATGAACGAATGGCAGCCAAAGAGAGTCAAGCACAACCAATGTAAAGCACCCCAAGGCCTTAAGGGTAAGTTTGATTCTGGTTTTTTGGAGGGTACAGAAGGGAAAAGCCCCCCTCTTTTGGCTAAAAATGAATGACTGTTTCTATACAGCAAGACTTACACTGTACAAATACCCCTTTTTACCACTCTTTCCACCCCCTTACGTGCAATTTTTTCTTTTCTTTCTTCATTGCATTTGCCGCCTCTACACCCTCCTCTTCCCATTTTCTGCCTCTCTTATTCCTTATTCTTCTTCCTCCACATCTAACATCATCCTTGTGCTCCTTCTTAACTTTCTCCCTCTATTACTTTTTCATATCAACAACCCCTTGAAAACAACAAAATACAAATGACGAAGTAACTCCGTCAGGGAAGAAGTATTCTACAGGCATGGTGATACATGATGACTTGTGTATGTCCATTGTTGATATATTACTTACTTTACTTCATAAAAATCTACACACACACACATGTGTGTGTGTGTGTTTTAAAATTCTCAAGATTACCCCTTATTAGTTTCTGTATGTCTTCTCTTTGAACTGCTTTCAGTATCTGCAAGTTTTGTGTCAAGCGTTGGGGTTTTAGTTGTGCCCAAACATGCAATTATTTCCTGTGGAGTGGTCTTAGTATGCAAAGAAAATGTGAGTTCGGTCCAGAAGAACCCATTGTACATGCATTTCTACAGTTGCTTCATTCTGAATGACATATAAACACTACACAAAATGACTATAGAATGTTTGTTTTATTGTCACAATATTTATTGCTTTGTGTTGTGATATTTGTTAGTTTTTTGAAGTATTAGAGATAACACCGAAGTATATTATAGATAATGATGTTAAAGAATGTAATAGTCAAAATTATGCAAGCAGTTAGTATACAGATAAAATGTAAGTTTGGTCCAAAAGAAACCATTGGGATGCATTTCTACAGTTGCTGCATTCTGAATGACACATACACACTACACAGAATGACTATAGAATGTTTGTTTTATTATCACAACAAACATTTATTGGTTTAAGTGGTGATTTTTTTTGAAACGGTTTAAGTTGTGATATTTGTTAGTTTTTTCAAGTTTTTTTTATAAATATAGTAATTCATCCCCCCCCACTCATGATGAAGAAGTATTAGAGATAATGATGTTAAAAAATGTAATAGTCAAAATTGTGCAAGCAGTTGGTATGTTTTTTAGCAAGGGTTTGGTCTTGGACATGAATTGAAGTATTCCCATACTTGTTACGGTGGCTAGGCAAGGCACAGCGCCAACCGACTGCCATATCTACTAGGCGTCTAGGCGCCCGCCTAGGAGACAACTAGGTGACAATTCATGCCATATGTAATATTTAAATATAAATATAATAAAATAATATATTCCAGATTATTTTCAAAAAACATATATGGAGTATGAAAAAATAGATTATATTTCTAGAAAAAAATGTCCAGTATAAATTTTCACTACGAAAATAACAAAAATACGTACTTGTGGTAGATAATATGCAATAGTATTGCAGACATTTGGTAACAAAGATTGAATTTGGTTAATGGATTCCAGCTGGACATGAAATAAATGAAAGAGTAGAGGTTTACTGTACACACACAGTGCACATAAAATAATATCAGCTAGCGACTTTAGAAAATAGGGACGCCGAACGAGCGAAGTAAACTGAGACGGAGGCGGAGCAACTGCGCTATACAGTGACTTGAGGCGGCAGCATACTGTGGAGACTTCCGTCAGTGAATCGATTGACGGGATGAACTGCTGATGGGTCTAGGGTTATGGCCGACGGCTTAATCTTAAAACTCAAATCTTCTCTAACCTAATATTCTGGGTTGAAGTGGCAAAACAGGCGTTGGGCGTCTCCATGGCGCCTAGTTGACGCCAAGTTACGCCTTGGCAGCTCCAGGCGAGTCGAGTAACCATGGCGCCCCTTCCCCACCGCCAGGACGACTAATCGGCGCCTAGTCGACGCCCAGGCGACGTCGTAACAACTATGAATATTCCTAAAGTATTAAGATTCCAATTGGACTAAAACACTTCAGGAAAAACAAAGTTCCAAAACAAATTTTTTATTTCAGAGTTCTCATGCGGAAAAAAGACCTAATAGAACTCATAATAGTTTGAACTTTGAACCACCAACCAGGCAACCATTGATGCAAATTGGGTGTCAATCTAGAGAAATGTTACGTTCTAACTATGCAGGGTTATGAATGCTTTCATGCATTCATACATACATATATACATGTCATAACTAGCTCATTAGTCCTACTAATTAAGAATGTCTCAATGTAATAAAAATTGACACCGCTTATGAAAAGGAAACTTAAAATGAGTTAACTTGACTGTGTGGTGTCCGTTTTTATTACACTAAAATATTATTGACTTCACACGATTCAGAATGGTTATGATGTAATGCTATTCAAGTACTCAGAACTATTTGGAACCTGCTGAATTTTTTCAAGCACAACACAGATGACAGAACTACAAAACCTAAGGACAAACCTTCTATGTATTTCATGTACTCATTCTTATTCAAGTCTATAGAATGCATCACCAGAGAATGTTCATATGTGGACCAAGCTCACATGTTTTCGGTAGACCAAGCTCACAGACGAGCTGCGGGGGACACAACTTAAATCCTGAAGTCTGAGAGAAAACTTTTTACACTCCAAAGCACCATAGCAGTAAAAAAGAAGACAAAGACAAAAGCTTAATAGCTTATACAGGTTATTCCTCAACAAGTCATCTCACCGATGGTTTCCATATCTATAGAACATTAGAACACTCCTGTGAAGAGGTGAGTTCGCCATTTGATTTTTAAGTTTTCTTCATGGTGGTGGCGGTGGCACTGTCCGCAATCATAGAGAGGTTGCCAGCTCGGATATGGAGACATCAAAGACCATTAAAGGAGCAGACGAAGGTGCTCCTTTAATGTGGATGAGGAGTGACCAATGAATGTGGATGAGGAAAGAGGGAGCAAACTGAGCATTGAAGGTGGAAAAAGGAAGACAGAGCCGGTAATGGAAAGGGAATACAAGCACATGAGGTGAGGGGTAGAAAGTTAAAAGGGAATGGAGAAAAATAGATTATATCTGTATGATGTAAGTCTTGTTATACATCTTGTTTTACATCAAGGTATATTCTAAAACAATTTGGGGGTGTTTATATTTCCTTTTCAATCATTTCCTAACCGGCCAATTTGGTTACTTTTAGGGAATGCACAAACTTAACTGCATCCCCCTCCTACCATGCAATCAACACAAATAAGGTACCAGGTGCCGTAAAGATAGCTTCATCCCCCTCCTCATTCACCATCTCTCTACATACCCTTAATAACACCCATATTTAACTCAGTTAACTGACAAAGACAGGACACTTTATGAAAATGGGAGTAATCGGATGGATACGTAGAACAAAGGCGCCTGCAGAACGAACCTATTTTGATTCTAACTCTTATAGTAATCACATGTTTTTAAAAAACAAGAACATGGGGAACCTACTAATCAAACTGTCTATGGCGGTAAACCAGACATACTCAACCAACCAGAACTTACAAAGTTACAAGTTAATCTTGACTAGTGTACAACTTACGAAACGTTTCAACGTTTTCCCCTCTTAGGACAACAGAATGGCTAAAAAATCGGACAAATAGCTAACGATAAAGAATATACCTGCATGCAGGTCTCGTCCCAGTCGTGACCGAAGCGGATAAGGACGAGGCGCTCCTCCTCTGCGAGGATGGCTTGATCAACTTCCCAGCCGGAATGAAGATGTGGCAACAAGTACGACATTTTTTGAATCAAAAGCCAGGCAGATGGAGCAGATCGTAGTTAGGGTTTGGAGCTGACCAACGAGGATAGGAAGGAGAGTGATAGTGCAACTCCGTATTTAGTCAACTTGGTTAGGGGAATTTAGACTTTAATGAGAGGGATTGGAGAAGGCTACTTACTTTAATTTGGTTTATTGGTTACTAATGGAATTTTTTGATGAATTTTTTTTAACATCTTCTTATTTAAGTCTAGTTACCCATACCAAATTTCAGCTAAAAATGCAATCGGCAAGGCAGTCAAATAAATGTTTGAAGATAACTGCGCAGTTAAACAACGCAGTATATTTCAGAAAATCATTTGACTGTCTTCCCGTTTGAAATGTTAGCTGAAATTTGATATGGGTAAACTAGACTTAATGAAGAATATACCCAAAAAAATTCATCAAAAAATTTCACCAGGAGCCTCCCCAAATGACGACGGCTGGACAGAGCCTCCTATAAAAGGGGTGATTTCACTTTTTCGGTTAGTTCGAGGGCTTATTTGCACATTTTCCCTTTGTTAAAAAATCCCTTTTGCACCCAAAAACTTGCAAAAAACTTACATTTTAAAGAACTTATAGGTTGATTAAATACATATATACAAGGATGGATTCAAGGGGGGCGGGGGACGACCGCCCCTTTTGGACTTTCAAAATTTTCTTACATATATATAATATTTTCATAAAATTTTCATACTTTAATTAGACTCGCCTCCCTTAACTTCCAGTTTCAAAATTAATATATATATATAGTCTTACACAATTCATTTACTTCTTACTTTCTAAGTTCTTACACAATTTTCATACTTCTTACACAATTTTCTTAGTTTGATGAAATTTTTATGACATGTTCTTCATGAAGTCTACTTTATCCATGAAAATTTTGAGATTAAAATTTGGTCAGGAAGATAGTCAAATAATGTTTTGAAGTTGCCTGCATTTTTCTATGTATAATTTGGCACAGTCAACTTCAAAAAATTATTTGACTGCCTTCCCGATCGAATTTTAAGCTGAAATAATTTTGAGGATAAATTAGACTTGATGAAGAACATGTCATAAAAATTTCATCAAACAATTCGACCGGGGACCGCCCCAAACAACGGTGTTCGGACGACGGCTCCTATCCGAACGTTCGGACCGGAGCACTTATATATATATATATATATGTGTGTGTGTGTGTGTGTGTGTATGTGTGTGTGTGTGTGTGTATATATATAGGGGAGGGTTCAAATACAAAGAGGTCTTCCCATGCAAAGTGAGAATTAATCTTGTGCGTTCATTTTGAGGTCTAATGGCTCAAAATGAGCCAAAAGTGAACTAAAATTGATCAAAAAACGCGGTGGCAATTTCGTAATTAAAACAAAGTTTTTTGCCATCGTGAAAAAGTGCAACAGAAACACGTAAAAGTGGAACGCGGTGAAGAAAAAGTGCAATTGTTCGCACTTTGGACGTGTGTATATATATATACACACGTAGTATGAAATAGCAATATATTATTATTCTAAGAATAATAATCTCATACATGATATTGTATTATAAAGAAAACTCATCTTGACTCACAAACACCCTCCTTGGTAGAAAAAAATTGCAATTCAAAAACCAATTCCTTATTCCGATAAGATTCATGTGGTTGAACAATGTAGAAGTTATTTAAAAAGTATTGATGGATGTGTACCTATTAAACTCTTTATCTTCAAATAATTGGATAAAATGTTATATATCCTTTTTTAATTTTCAAATTATTTTCTTTTAATTGTCATTTCTTACGCTTTGATGTATCAATACCTATTTCTAGAGCATTTCAATTATAATATTGAAGTTAGTTTGCCACTGTCTAAACTTAGAAATTAGATTGTAGTATATTTAAATGTTGTGGTGCATGTATTAATGATTTTTTTAGATGAAAAAGCCACAGAGCCCTACACTAGCGAAAAACATTTGCCTCGCTAAACTACCGAATAAAATTCGTTCCGCTACACTAGCGAAATAAAATTCACCCCTTACACTAATGAAAATTTTCGCCCCCTTAACTCGAAATCATGGATCCGTCCCTGCATATATAGGCTGATGGTACCATGGACACCGACCATGGCCCAATTGTACAATCCAGCCCATAACGGGATGCAGATCATTAGCGGGATTAGCCCTTAAATAGGATTAATGTTAGATAACCATTGGGCCTAACTAGGGATCAAGCCCACGAGAGGACCCCACAGTCAGGCCAGGCTGGAAAGCAAGCCTCGAGCCTGGGCGGAGTTCTAGTGAGGCTAGGATATTCCTAGAGCTGACGTGGCACGCTATCATTAGAACGGCAACTGGCAGGAGTTAACGGCTGGAATGTAGGAATAAAGGAACAATCCAATATTGCACAACGGCCAAGACGTTACAAGAGTCCTATTCGAACTAATGCGCAATTAATATCATTTATTGTATCAGTTTCCTTTTGTAACACTAGTTCCTTAGCCTATAAATACGACTTGTAAACCTCCTAAAGGAGGATCAAAACATTGATCAATAGAACACTGCCTTACGCTGCCAAATTTTCATCTGCTCCTATAGATTTAGCTCTCGTAGTTGGATTAAACTTCATCATAGGCAATTATGGTTTGTGAACAAATGAACAATATTAGTTTGCACAGCTCTGGGCAACTATTGTTTTCTCAGAAATTTCTATCTGAAATTTATTTTTTTCTAATTGAAAACTAAAAAGCAACATAGACAACTAACTATCAATTAATTTCACTTTTAGTTCTACGAGTTTTATGTCAATTTCACATTCAACTCACATTTTTTCCACTTTTATACTTGATTATGTTTGAATAAATCCATGAATACTTTAATCTTCATATTGAAATTATCTAGAGAATTAACTGAGTGGAAGCGTACCTGACTCCATGGGAGATCACCTTTAGAGATCCGGGAGACGGAGGCTAGGGTTTGCGTCTTCTAGTTGATACACACCCTCGGGATTATCTCTCTAGCGATGGGATGCAGAAAGACGGAATGACGTGTTCAACTAGGGACCATAACTCCTCTATTTATAGAGAATGCTTAACCCTAATCAGCCCATCATTAATTAGGTTAAGCCCATGGGTCTCTACACATTTGGGCCCTATACCTTATTAGATAACATATTAGCCCACATAAATTAATATCCATAGGACCACTAATTTTTGGGCCTAAACATAGACAACATATAACATACAATTAAACCCAATAATAATATATTGTGAATATTACATGTAGTATAAGTCCAATAATCTAACAATCTCCCACTTGGACGACATATTACATGTAGTATAAGTCCAATAATCCAATAATATATTGTGAATATTACATATAGACACATAATCCTTAGTATTGTATGTTTACTCTAGGAGCTCCAAAATTTTTCTATCAACCTGTAGTCATCTTTAATCAATCCGATCCATTAATTATATCAACATAGGACCAAAGAAGTCTTTGCTATATTTGCATAACTAGACTCATCAATGATCACATATATTAATATAATAAACGACATGGATCAAGTATAGGTGTGTAGCGTGGAAATAACATGAAGTGTGGTCTAGAATAGAATGTCTATTTCCAACTGGTCCACCTTGAGATCAATAATATAACTGTAAGCGTACATAAAACTTTAAACTTTATTTCTGCAGAAAATAACCTTAAAACTTGAATTAAGTCAATTAACCAAATATAGAAACATTACAAACTCCCACTAAAACTCATAATCCTCAACTGATTTGACACTCATTTGAGCAACATGCTCATGAAACACTTTGGGTGGCATCCTTTAGTGAGCGGATCCGCAATCATGAAGTTTGTGCTAATGTGCTCTATAGATAACTTTCCTTCTTGTACTTGTTCCTTAACAACCTTAAATTTTACCCCAATGTGTTTTTCCTTGGTCAAACTACTGTTGTTCTTAGCATAAAGGACTGCTGAACTATTGTCACACAATAGCTTTAGTGGTCTTTCAATGCTGTCCACTATACGCAGTCCAATAACAAAATCTCGCAACCATAATGCCTGATTGGATGTCTCATAACATGCTATAAACTCTGCTTCCATGATGGAAGTAGTTGTAAGAGTCTGCTTAATACTCCTCCAGGAGATAGCTCCTCCAGCTAGAATATAGAAGTAGCCTGAAGTGGATTTCAAGCTATCTTGACATCCAGCAAAATCAGAGTCGGTATACCCAATGATCTCAAGTTGATCCGATCTCCGATATGTGAGCATGTATTCCTTTGTTTCTCTATAAATACCGCACGACCCTTTTGGCTGCTTTCCAATGGTCCATTCCCGGATTGCTCAAATATCTGCCTAACATCCCAATAATGTATGCCAAATCAGGTCTTGTACAAACCTGGGCATACATCAAACTTCCTACAGCCGAAGCATAAGGAATGTTCCTCATTTCTTTAGATTCAAAACCATTCTTAGGGCACTGCATGAGACTAAACTTGTCTCCCTTAGAAACTGGGGTATCTCCTGGTTTGAAGTCTTGCATACCAAACCTTTTGAGAACCTTATCGATATAGCTCTTTTGTGAGAGTCCAAGAACGCCTTTGGAGTGGTCTCGGTGTATTTGAATTCCTAATAAAAAAGAAACCTCACCAAGATCTTTCATTTCAAAATTCTTTGAAAGAAATCTCTTAGTTTCGTGCAATAAGCATATATCGTTACTAGCAAGCAGTATGTCATCAACATACAAGACCAGGAAAATATGCTTACTGTTGGAAAAATGTGTTAAAAATTGCATTAAATCGTCTTTTTGGGGCAATTATTTGAGTGGGGTCCACTTCCGATTTGGGTCGGGTTAAAGTGGTTTCGGATTGTTAAGGGCTACAATTCGATATATGGTACTCTCAAAACGGATAACGGGTGAATGAGAAATTGATTCTCGAAGTTCACTCGTTGAAATGGAAAAACTGGGAAAATGATGAGTTTCTAGTGTGTTTTATCCCACATCGGAAAACTCAAGGGATTTTCACCCCCTTATAAAGGGAAGCCTCTTTTAAGGAGTTAAGATTCCTAAGGGTAAAGGCTCTCTCTTACGCGCAGGGGGGAGGGTGCCGATCAAATCCCGAAACGGAGAAGAAAAACCGCGACTCGTTTGCGCGGGCGACCTGCGGACACGAATGTCGTCCAAAAA